TTTGGGGGGGGGGGGGGGGGTTGGGTGGCCGTAGAGGACAGAGCCGCGCGGCCAAAACATGAAATTGTCACGAGACAACGGGAGGTTGGTTCTCCACGTGTTCTGTTGCAAAGGAATGTTGTTGGGTGGAGGTCGTTGTGTTTGCGTCACCAGCCTTTCTTGTTTCTACTCCCCCGGCAACACGTTTTTCGCTTCGTGTTTCTTGCAAAATGCCGTGTTTTTTGTCTTTTTTTGGAAACTGGCGGTTGGTTGTAGTTTTGATCTTTTTGGTAGTCTCGAGGGTGAGCTTTGGAGAAAGCCGTGTGGCGAGCGGTATTTTGCATCGACGTGCGCCATTGTCCGCTCCCAGCTTATTATTATGGATGACTTTATGTTTTTCTCGTTGAACTTTTTTGTTATTTTGAAGCGGCACGCGGGTGCCTCCGCTGTTTGATGGAGGCTTTTCTGCCTGGTGATGTTTTTGCTGCTTCGTCCCCTTTTATTGTGTTGCTGTAGGAGCTGCCATCGTGAATCCCTTTATTCTGAACACCATCACTATCCGTTTGAAACAGCAGGATGCACGGTTTGTATCAAAGGAGCGGGCGCGGGAGTTGCTATCGTATTGTTGTTGGAATTGATAAATCTCGTAGGGCGTGCTTGTGTGTATTCGTTGTTGTTGGATCAGGGGTTCGGCGGGAAGTACCTTGTGCTAGAGAGGGGTGCGTGTATTGAAGAACCACAGGCATATGTTGATCGGTTGCTCTCTCGTGTGAAAACTTTTAAGGTTGTTTTTTTTTCGCATTGTATCTTTGGTGGAGGAAGAAGGGCGGGTTTCAGTAAGGGTCGAAAGTAGAGAAGAATTTATGTGTATGTTAAATGTGTGGTGAAGGATGGGTCGAACGTGAGTCACTCACTCCTCCCGCACGGTCTTCTTCTGTTTAGCTGCCCACCTTTGATATTTTTATTGGCGTATTATGCGGTGTGCGCCCTTGTTGCCGTTACGTACAGCAGTTCTCGTGCGTCCCAAGCTCTTGAAAGTGGAACGAACGGACGTCCTTCGTTTGTTACGTAGCATGTAGTCGTCGTAGCTTGCAAACTCCTCGCAGTAGATGTAAAGGAAGCGTACCATGATGGAAAAAGAAGACTGCATAGACTTCGGGTAGACTATTGCTTAATCATGATTTGGCAAAACATGCACGACGAGATGAGGTTTCATGTACAGATAGATGTGGAAGTACATGAACTGATCTTTCATGTGTGCAAGGTCTCCAAGCACACAGCAAGTCGCACGGTACAACATTGGAGGACCCTGCTTGGTGCGAGTTGAACAGTATCTAGGGCCCGTGCCCGAGATCATGTATTGTCCCGGTTGTATTCGGCTGCCACAGACTTAATCATCAAGTCATTACGGCAATGTACTTTGATTAGTGCCGGTGTCCGGTATTATATATTGTATTTGTGCCGTCAACTTTCTCTGGGCACATGTACTCTTTGGCACTAAAACAAGGCCGCCTCCCTACCCGGATGATAGATTAGAGCAGCGCTACATACATATAAGATATCGCTTGGACGTCGTCTAATTTACTACCTCCGCAGAATCAAATGCAAGTGACCCGCAACATACTCTGTACGTACATGTCGACGAGGGTAAACTCTACAATAGGTAAACTTTGAAATACATATTACTACAACGAACGTCAATTTTTTGTCTTGTCAACTCTTTGGACCCAACTATTGCACACTGCTGACTACATATCTACCACAAATGAAAATAAAAGTATCCTCCGTGTTAACCTGCTGTGTTCGTTCGTCGCGTCAGTCGGACCTGTCGGTTGACATAGTTGACATCATTATGCTCTCGCTCGCGGGCGATCTTCGTCGTTGTCTACATGGTATTTTCTCTTCTCACTCATCAACCTAGGTTACAAGCATCAGGACACATCTATCTGGCTTACTTGGTCGTATCGGGTCTTTCAGATGTGCGTTGTAATACGCATCTACGTACATATGCATGCCTGACGGCGCTTCATCTGCAGCCGTGTGACAGCAGTACTATGCATATGCATTTCAGTTACCAAACACAGCAGTAGTCAATCTTCAAGTACGCGGCAGCCGAGGTCGGCATGCCGCCTGCTTGTTGACGTGGAAACCCCAGGGATTCGGGGACGGAAAAGGTAGTCATCATGAAGGGGCAAGGAAGGGGACGGACACACACGTGGGCAACAATCCATCATCCCTCCTACTTCCTCCCTCTCTATCCCTTTCCTCTCCCAGAGATCAAAGATGATGTTCGCAAGGGTTGTCGCTCTCGCTTGCCTGGCGCTTGGCGCGGACGCTTTCTTCATGGGCACACCGCTGCGGACATCCGCAGGCGTGGGCTCTAGCCGAGCGGCCACGACGATGAAGGTCCCCACAGACCACCCCGAGATCGAGGTAAAGCGAGGAGAGAGACACGGGTTCAGTCGCGAGCACCGAGCAGCATGCGACCAGAGGTCAAAAGCTCGCCTGTTCGTGGTGATTCTCGGGGCAGTGTATTGGCGGTGCGGAGGAAGACAAGTTTGTGTGGTCGTCTTCAAGCAGGGATGGTGGTGGTGTGACACGTCGTGGGTGTGCCCGTTCTAGGTTTTTGTTTTTTTGAGCACGCATGCAGCAGGAGCCGCCTGTGGCGGCCACATCATCATGATGCATCATCATCATGTGTCTTGTCCTGCGCTTCGGCAGAGATATCCAGGCCAGCCTCGATGCGTTGTGTCTTCTCTGGCACCGCTACCGCGGTGTGCTGAGCACTCAGAGGAACGGCCTTTCTTGTCTCGGGTGCCGCGGTGCATGCTGGAATGTTGCTGCGTCTGTGGCCTGGGGGTGTCGCGCGCTGACTATCATGAGCGGCGTGGCATGTGCTGTGTGATTTTGTGATTCATCATCTTTTTCCTGACGACATCAGCAAGGGTCAGCGAATGCCAAACAACCTTAGTGTTCATGGGCCACGAGTGCTGGTGCTCCCTTGTACGTTAAGCCCTCTCCCTGGGTGGTCTACAGCGGTAGCACCTGCCGATGAGATAATAACCATATTGTACCTTGTTTTTGGTACCGGTCAGGAGGGTGTTGCCGACCTATTGAAGTCTCGTCGTGAGATGTGCATCCACCTGGGTACTGCTGTGGACTACATAGACCGCAACATGTAGACAATCGCCGTGTTTGTGGTCCCCTGGGTTGGCAGTCTCGTGACGTTGATCTCTCTCCTCTCACTCGCCGCCTGCGTTGCGGAGGACGATGTTGCTGGCTCGTGCGGCTGCTTGCGGACTCGATCGGGGAGGCTGTAAGCAACGCCCTCCTTACGGAACTTTCTTTGGTATTTAGTCATGTTGCAGACAGGATGTACAGCAATACACAGCAGCAGCACGTAACGGTCCGACTCAAATTGCCCGTCGTCTGCGTCCGAAGGCTTCTGTCATCAACACGTGTTTGAAAACACTATGCATCGAATAAAACACGGACTTGAGTAAACATAACCAAACGAAGTAACGTGCAACGTAAAACCCGCTTCATGGCAAGTGGCGTACATCCTTTCGTCGTTGTCCGGGAGGTTCTGCTGGGGGCGGCAGGATAGTCCGAATTTTGGTTTGTGTGTTACGTCCCAGGCTTGTCCGCTGTGCCCCCCGCCTATGTTGGCACCCGGAGCTATTTAGAAGGCAGCCGCCGAGGTGAAGTCAACCCGCTGCTGCCCGTTTGTGTTGCCCGTCGATGAACAACGTCCACAGCAGCAACAGTTTTAATCCTCCCAATCTGGGCATACCCGACCTGTACCTTCGCACCGATTACCCACTGCTGCGGTTGGGCACGGGCTACCCCCACCCCACCCCACCCCATGCACCAAGATTTGTCTTACTGGTGTTTATTCTCGATCACAATTTTCGCCCCCCTCGCTTGATGGCTCTGCTGTTCACCCTGAAACGGTGTCAATCGCGTGAGTTTAAACTTTAGTGATGCTGCCGTAGATCGTAAGCACCCCCCCCCCCCCCCTCCCTTCCCACCTACCATTTTTTTTTTTTTCCAGGTCCCAAAGGCAGCTGCCCTGAAGGCAACGAAGGAGTTCGGCGCCACCTCCCCCGAGGCACGCCTGGCGTGGGACACGTACGAGGAGGTGGCGGCCGCCGACAACACGATCGCCACACGGGCCACCCTTGACGAGGACTGCGATGTAAGCGCTGCTGGGACCCCACCTTCGCGAGAAATGAAGTGTTATGAGGAAGTATAAACAGGGAAGGGGCGCAGACCCTATCCCTAAACCCTCACCCGAACCCAGCTCCCCCGATTGCACGCTTTATCCAACATGCCTACTTAATAGAAAAACCCTGCCAAGGCTACTGGTGCTTGCTTGTGGTTGGTCATTTTTTTTTTGTGTGAAGGAAACGGTTCTTCTCTACCCGCAGATACATTGTCGGGATAAATTTTCGTTGTTTTTTTTTGTGGTTGGTGTTGCTGCTGCTGTTGCTGTGGTTTACTGGTTGTACCCGTGGTTGATGTCAAGTGTTGGCGCTCCCCCAAGGAGAGAGAATTGCTTCCCATCCGCTGGCCGACGCCTCCAGCTGCATCGAGGAAGCCCCGAAATGATCCCCCTGCCCTCGTGTGGCGATTTTTGTCGCAGCTAAAAATAGATAGGAACGTCCTCGTGGCCAAAGACCAATCCCAGAACACAAAAAATCGCCAGCTGCTGACGTCTTCCTCCTTGGCCAACCTATAGCATCACACACACGCGCACACAAGTTTAACCCCACTTCGGTGGACTTGTCAGTTTTGCCAACTACCATGGCCCAGCTTGTTGCATTGCGTAGCCGATGCTAAACGAGAAAGGACATACACCCGCGTACACACATTCTTTGGATCTTGGGGCTCCCTTCAGGGGACCTTGGTGTTTTGCTATAAAAGAGGAACGCAACCAAAAAACGCGCCCTTCAGGGGTCCTTGATTGTTTCCTGCCATCAAACCGACGTCTGTTGACTGGTGAGCCGGTTAGCGCGTTCGATACTAACTAGAAGACACACATTGATACGCACAGGTGACAAACGAGAACGTGTGCGAGGAGTACCAGGACCAGATGAAGGAGTTGGAGGAGATTTTGGCTGCGGGTCCCGCGGCGATGAACATCAGCGTCGAGCAGCTCGCCAAGCAGGTGCGGTAAACCTGTCCACTCCGCGCGCCTCCTCTTCTTGCTTCGTCCGTGTTGTTGTTTTGGGGCTTCTGGATGGCGGCAGCACCCAGCAGGCATTGTTTGTTGTGTTTTCATGAACATTGCCCACATCACCCAGCCCTTCCCGGGAGAATCGGTTTTCCCCGAGCAAGAGTTGCCACAATTTCCAACGCCGCCCCTTCTTTTTGGGGTCGCTGGCAATAGAAACAGCTGTCTACTGAATCGTCCCTGGTTAGATCGGGCGGCAAAGGTGGTGCCGCCTCCCCGTGGAGAGAAGTAGGCTACTGCTGTTGTGCCGCACGCCTTTACGAGGAATGTGGCGCATTTTCGAGGATTTTGGCACATTTTTGAGGGTTTTGGCACAGACCTACAAAACACCTCCGTGTGCTTCTTCGAGCGCGTGAAACACAACGTTAATGGTTTCACCGTACCCGTGGAATGAGCTCGTGTGTTGACGAACGAGACCGGTGTGTTGACGAACGAGAATAGCCTTGCAGCGCGACGGTTGGACCCCTCCTAGAGCGGAAGTGTTTCGTGTGCCCGATGTGTTTTTTCTCTGAGTGGTCGTTTCTTTTATTCCGACGGCGGCGAGAACTTTACGAGATATGCATACTGTACCCCCGTACCCCCATGCATGCTGCGCACATAGCGAACGGCGGTTCGTTGTACAATCGTGTGTCGCGTACCTGCTTGTTGTATCTCGATATGAATGGGTTGAGCAGCCGCCACCGGGCAGAGCTTGATCGATCCAAGCTGTGTGGACTCAAGCCCCACCCGCGAGCGAGGGCCACTTACTCATGAACTGACGTGAAGGCCGAATGCGGTGGCACCTTGCATGTCTCGGAGATGATGTTGCCTAGATCCGTGTCGGTGTTTGTGTTTTCTTAATTGGCATGGACCGCGCTAGCCGGCTGACCAATGAAAAGACGTCAGTCTTGTAGCTGGATAAAAAAATACAGACACTTTCTAATCACGCGTATTTAGCGTGTGTTGTGTGTTGCAGAGTTTTTCGTTGCCTGTGTTGCCGACCGCACGCGCCAAATGTGCTGAGATAGGTTTTGTCTTTTAGGAAACAGAGCCCAACTACGTGGTTCTCTTCACGCATTGGGGGGTATATACGGACGGTTGGAATCCACTGGACGCCCCTCCCCCCCTGCGCGCCCGCCCGTCCTGACCCCCCCTCTCTCTCCACCTTCCCCTCCCCCACCGTCGCGTTCGTCCACCAGAACATGATCCTCATCGAGGAGAACAGCCGCCTGAAGGCCAGCCTCAGCACCTACAAGAAGTAGAGTACTCGATGACCCCTGAAGGTTGTTGCGCGCGAGCGTGCTCAGGACCGTCTGGGCTCGTTTCAAGAGAGAGAGGGAATAGACGCCAGCACGCACTCCGTTTTCCCTCGCGGGTGAACTGACAGAAGAAGTGGCGAGGCTCTCGTGATTAATCTTTTCGCGTTGTGGTCTGTTTTTTTTTTATTGTTGACTTTTTTTTCACTCACATGGCCGTTGTTGTTTAGTTTCTCGCGGAAGAACGGCCGTGCTGCTGCACCGGTGCGTTGTAGCAAACGAAGCAAATGCTTCTGGGTATTGCTTTCCTTGTCTAGGGAGAGCGTCCCGCGATTAGGTTGAGGTACGTTGGCGTCGCATGGACCAAGGGAAATGATTGGTCACGGCTCTGGCGTATTTGCGATCGTTTGGGGGTTTGGAAGCCATAGAGGGAGGATTGTAACGCTTGGACGCTTCTGGCAGCATGGCACCCGATGGCTGCCTGCCGGGAAGCAGCAACGTGCCCCGCTGTTACCATTATTCATGCGACTGAGCTGCGGTTTATTTCTGGTTTGCGTCCTTTTTCACGGCCATTTGTTTCTCCGCTGGGAAAAATCTCACCTGTTTGTGTGATGACGTGACCAGACAAACCAATTCTTGGCAGCATGCACATCATGCCACATCGTACATAAAAGAATACTCCATTCTTGAGGGCAAAGTGGTCGGTAACCCTTCCTCGCAGTCTAGGGGTTTGTGCTCCCCTTTCCCACGTCAGTCACGCCACACTTACGGGAAAACAACACGTGGTTTGTACAATCGTGCAAAAGACCGAATTTTGTCGATGGCAATTTTATTGTTTCGGTTCAAGTCCCTGGGGGGGGGGGGGCTTGTGTGTCACAGCGTTCTGTAGGCCTCTTGTGAGGTGATCGTGGAGTGATGGGTCATGCCCGTGCCAAGCTGACCGGATCTCTCTTCTAGTTCGTTCTAACTGGGAGCAAGGGAACAAGTTTTTGGGTACACACATTTCCTGAGGGGATTTTTCGCAATAGATCGTCACGGTCTTTTCGTGCGCACATGAAGTGTTTCCCCCCTCCCCGAGATGAACGAACGTGAGTTAAGTGCAGAGTACAAGTACAACCCCGGTTGGGTTGTCCCAGCGGCGACGGTCAATGCTGTTTTGTGTTTCCGGATTCCTGCCCCTTGGCTTGGCATGCTGAAGCCGTGTGTCCTCGTCGTCCATGTCGTCTCCGACTGCTACACGATGCCATGGGAGTTTGCGCATAACGACCGCGCCCAATTGGTTTTACTTCTACAATGTGTCCGCAATGCTGCGACATTGACGTTTGTCTCTCTACCACCCCTAATTGTCGGTGTTGTTCTTGAAGTGGTCCGCCGAAAACCTCACATCCGCTGTCAAACATGAAGCCTTGCGGGAATATACGTCACGTTTGAAACGCCCCGTGGCTGCGACGGGCGTCTTGCTCGTACGAAATGTGCCACGTATGTATCCTGCAGCGAGGGAGCCGAAATCTGGCACCCTCCCTCCCTCCACCCAAGGATGGACGAGATTGATCTTCGTATGCTTACTTCACACGATGAAGAGCGCGTAAGAACCACCTGGATGGCGGCTACTCACACGACGGTCAGTGATATCGATCAGACAGGAAGCTCTACTTTTCGTCCTGCATGAAGGGGTTCAACAAGTCGCTACTTACTTGATTGTTGAGAGGTACGTGCTACAATACAGTGGGGGGGGGGGGGGGGGGGG